GGGAAGGGGGGAGAAGGGGGGAGGGAAGGGATGACCGATTGCTCTTGTCTTTGACCAGCATCAATAGGAATGAAGGAGGCTGTCACAGAGCTGACACTGGAAATGTGAATCTCTAACACCTCCTCCTCCTCCTCCTCCTCTTCTTTCTTCCTCTCCCTCCTTCTCCTACCCCTCCTCTTCTGCCTCTCCTCCTCCTCCTCCTCCTCCTCCTCCTCTTCTTCTTCTTCTTCTTCTTCCTCTCTCCTCCTTTCTTCTTCTCTTTCCTCCTCTTTCTTCTCCTTCTCTTTTTCTTCTTCTTCCTTCGCTTCCTCCTCTTCTTCCTCCTTTTCCTTCTGGGTGCTGTCCCTTAGCTTATTGCTCAAGGCTAGTGCTCTACCACTTGAGCCACAGCACCACTTCCAGCTTTCTGGTGGTTCATTGGAGATAAGGGTCTCATGGACTTTCCTGCTTGGTCTGGCTTTGAACCAAGATTCTCAGATCTCAGCCTCCTGAGTAGTAGGATTATAGGTCTGAGGCACTGGCTCTTGGAGAAATCTTCCTCCTCCTCCTCCTCCACCTCCTCCTCCTCCCTTCCACCTCTTCTTCCCTCGGTTTGAGCTCAGAGTGGTTCACTGGAGACAAGAGTCTTGTGTGGACTGTTTTCAAACTGCAGGTGTCAGGTCTGAGCCTCCTGAGCAGCCCTGGTGCGCAGCTAGGGACCGACGGGCAGGAAGGTCCTGCGTTCTCCGCTGGCCAGAGAGGTGCCCTTCTCAGCCTCACCCCCGCTCCCTGGGCAGAGGCCTCGCGGGCCTGTGGGCGGGGTCGGCGTCCGCGGGGCTGGGCACGGGCTGCGGCCCTTCGCCCGGTCCAGGCTCACCCCCACTCCCTGGGCAGAGGCCTCGTGGGCCCGTGGGCGGGGTTGGCGTCTGCGGGGCTGGGCACGGGCGTCCACGGGGCTGCGGCCCTTCGCCCGGTCCAGGCTCACCTTTGTTGTTGCAGGCGATCCTCTTCATACGATCCGCAAAGGTCACCTCTCTGCCAATGAGGTACGTGAAAACCCGGACCTGCCCACAAGACAGCACGGCGGGGCTGGGGCCATGGCTGGGGCCCTGGCTGGGGCCCTGGCTGGGGGCCGTGGCTGGGGGCCGTGGCTGGGGCTGTGTCTGGGGGTCGTGGCTGGGGCTGTCTGGGGGCCGTGGCTGGGGCTGTCTGGGGGCCATGGCTGGGACTGTGGCTGTGGCTGTGGCTGGGGGCCGTGGCTGTGGCCGTGGCTGTGGCTGGGGCCATGGCTGGGGCCCTGGCTGGGAGCCGTGGCTCTGGCTGTGGCTTTGGCTCTGGCTGGGGCCGTGGCTGGGGGCCGTGGCTGGGGGTCCTGGCTGGGGCTGTGTCTGGGGGCTGTGTCTGGGGCTGTGGCTATGTCTGGGGGCTGTGGCTGTGTCTGGGGGCTGTGACTGGGGGCTGTGGCTGTGTCTGGGGGCTGTGCCTGTGTCTGGGGGCTGTGTCTGGGGGCTGTGTCTGGGGGTTGTGGCTGTGGCTGGGGGCTGTGGCTGGGTGTTCAGCCTGGCTCAGGCCTGGGCTCTCCGTCGCACCCCGCTTCTGGTCCGGGAGGAGCCCAGAACCTGGGCAGCAGTCAAGCCTGCCACACAGCTCTCCGGGGCCGGGGGCTCTGCCCGGGTTCCAGGCCCTGGGCCCTGGCCTCCTGCCAGCCTCCATCCCACAGCCCCCCTCCCCTTGGATGGGGGACACCCTTGCAGGATGTGGGGTGTTTGCCCAGGGCCGGGCGGGGCCCCCTCTCCTGGGGTCGCCCAGCGTCCAGCGGGGTCACCTTGCGGTCGGGCACGTTGTACGTCTCCAGCACCGGCTCGTAGTCCTCCACGGCGCCGTCGGTGATGAGCATGACAGCCTGGTTACAGAGGCTGCCCCGCCCGGCCTCCCGGGACTGTGCGGGCAGAGGGGGCGCTGGGCAGGGCACGCGGCAGGCAGGGCGCGGCCTCCTCCCCCTCCCCCCCTCCCCCTCCTCTCCCCCAGGACACGGCCAGCTGCTGCACCTGCTTCAGGATCTGGAAGGCTTCGGTCAGGGCCTGGCTCACGACTCCCACACCCTTCACCATGAGCTCGTCCACCAGCTGCTTGAAGTGCTGTGGGAGCATCGCTAGGTTGGCCAGGACTCGGAGAGGGACGTGCAGGCGGGAACGCCTCTCTGGGGACACAGGGGTGACGTCCCCGGGGCTGGGCCTACGGTGGACGCGTCTCAAATGCCCTGGGTCAGCTCGGCTCGGGACAAGCCACACGCACAGTACTCTGGGACAGGCGCGGTCGGCCGGCTCCTCGCACCCAGCGCTGAGTGGGGAGACCGGAGGAGCCCGAGGCCGAGGTCGGGCTCAGGGGACCCCAGCCGGCTGGTCACAGAGGACACGGGTAATCTCTTTTACAAAGTGTCATGGCCGGGTGTCGGTGGCTCCCAGTTACACAGGAGGCTGAGATCTGAGGATCACAGTTCAAAGCCAGCCTGGGCAGGGAAGTCTGAGGCTCCCATCTCCAATCAACCAGCAAAAAGCTGTGGAGCTGTGGCTCAAATGGTAAAGTTAAAAAAAAATGAATCTGAGGCACAGCACCCAGGCCCTGAGTTCAAGGCCCAGGAGGGACACGCACGAAGCGTCATGCTGTCTTCTTTAGCCTTTTATCAGAGAAAGGGCCTCGGCCTGCGGGATGTGCTGTGGGCCCTGTGAAGGGCAAGGGGCGAGGAGGCCGTGGGGGAGGCGGGGGGGGGTGAGGAGGCCGTGGGGGAGGCCGGGGGGTGAGGAGGCCGTGGGGGAGGCCGGGGCCTGGGTTTCCAGGGAGGGCGGGACTGGCACACCCACCTCACGATTGTCCCGGTCGGCCTGGACG